ACGTCGATGAGGTTCCCCCTCCCGGGGCGAACATCGTCGATGGCATGTGGATTTTCACGGTGAAGCGGCCGCCAGGTTCTCCGCCTGTCTTCAAGGCTCGTTACGTTGCTCGAGGCTTCAGTCAGCGAGAGGGAGTTGACTTCTTCCAGACCTTCTCCCCTACCCCGAAGATGACTACTCTTCGGGTGCTGCTGCACGTTGCCGCTCAGCGTGACTACGAGCTTCACTCTCTTGACTTCAGCACAGCTTTCCTACAGGGCAGCCTGCACGAGGAGATCTGGCTGCGCCGCCCACCTGGTTTCACTGGGTCGTTCCCTCCTGGTACCCAGTCGAGCCTCCGCCAGCCAGTCTACGGTCTCCGCCAGGCACCCCGTGAGTGGCACGACTACTCTTGCGGCTCTTGGGTTTGCGCCTTCGACTGCTGACCCTTCACTGTTTCTACGCACCGACACTTCGCTGCCGCCGTTCTATATCCTCGTGTACGTCGACGACTTGGTCTTTGCTACTGCTGACACTGAGGCCCTCGCCCTGGTGAAGTCCGAGCTGCAGAAGAGACACACGTGCACAGACCTGGGTGAGCTGCGCAGCTACCTTGGCTTGCAGATCACCCGGGACCGAGCACGCCGCACCATCACACTGACTCAGTCACACATGGTGCAGCAGGTCCTTCAGCGCTTCGGCTTCACCTGGTCCTCAGCACAGGCCACTCCTCTGGCTATAGGTCACTCGCTCTCAGCTCTGCCTTCGGATGAGTCCGTAGAGCCGAGTGGTCCTTACCCAGAGCTAGTGGGCTGCCTCATGTACCTGATGACTTGCACTCGTCCTGACCTTGCGTACCCTCTTGGCCTTCTGGCTCGCTACGTGGCTCCTGGCCGGCACCGAAAGGTGCACTGGGATGCTGCAAAGAGGGTACTGCGCTACTTGTGCAGTACATCGGGCATGGGGCTCGTGCTTGGAGGACGGCGAGAGGTGGTCCTCACTGGGCACTCAGACGCTTCTTGGGTTGATGACCAGGCTACGCAGCGGTCGTCACAGGGTTACACTTTCAGCCTTGGCTCTGGTTCTGTTTCTTGGCGTTCTACTCGCTTGTCTTCTGTTCTCAGCTCCAGCTGTGAGGCTGAGATCTACGCCACCGCCATGGCTGCTCAGGAGTTACGCTGGCTCACTTACCTGCTGACCGACCTGTTAGAGCGGCCTCGTTCTCCTCCAGTGCTGTACGTCGACAACAAGGCTGCCATTGCCTTGTGTGAGGAGCACAGACTGGAGCACAGAACGAAGCACATCGCTCTGCGGTACTTTCTGGCTCGAGAGTTGCAGCAGCGTGGTCAGCTTCGTCTTGCACACGTGGCCACTCGGGCCAACACGGCTGATATATTCACCAAGGCACTTCCGTCTGGTGATCATCAGCGCTTTTGTACTTTGTTAGGCCTTGTGCCTACGTTTCCACACTTGCTGTAGACTTTGTGTGTACTGTGCTCTATATTTATACCTGCATGCTTGCTCTTGCTAGGTATTGATCACTGTACTGCTCTTGTTGCTTATATATATCTCTGCATGTGGACTGGCCTTGCGGCCCTTTGCTTGTGCTCAGAATGTGTGGTGACGTTGAGATCCACCCTGAGCTTGTTTTGCGTCTCTTGACTGGTCGTGTGACCCCTTGTTCTCCCCCACTTTGCCTATGGGGGTGTGTCAAACATATATGCTGCATATTGTCTAGGCTGTAGTGGGGTAGCCCATATGGGGTACAGCCCAATTAGGGTTTCCTACTTGTACTCCTGCATGCTGTTAGTTCATCATTCCTGCTGCTAGATTCTAACAGGAACTTCATCGACGTAGGTGCCTCTGGATTTGTAAGAGGCCATCTCTACGTCCATGGCAGCTCTCCACTGAGAGACCCAAGGCCCTAACATTGCCTCAACGTAAGTGCGAGGAGTCGGTATGTCAAGGGCGTCGGGGTCTCCCTCAGGGGCGAGCAGCATGGCACAGAGATGAGGCGAAGCGGCTGCCAGGAACTCTAGCTCAAACTGCCTGTCCTTTAGGGTGTCACAGCCAAGGGCAGACTCACCCCCGACGGCCAGAGGACTGGTAGGAGGAGCAGCCACGACACGAGTGGCGTAGTCAAGGCGGCGAGTAGTGGCGAACTCAGTGACAGAGGTGGTAGCCCCAGGACCGCTCTTTGAAGCACCAGTCACACCACCCCTAGAGCCGGCACCACCAGCAGCAACGCGGTCAGTCCCACGCTCTCCAGGGCCAGCAGAGGGCGCACCCGCACCCCCAGTCGTAGCACCCCCTTGGACATCTGGAATAACACCAGCTCCCGAAAGACTAGTATCTCCTGCGGACACGGGCTCAGCTCCAACTCTAGCACCCCCAGAATCATGAACTCGCGCAAGCACACTCTCACCGACTCCAACACCTCCAGAGCTAGCACCTCCAGGGTCCGCGCCACGAACACCAGGACCCTCAGGGTCTGCAGCAGTCTATGGAGGAAGTGCTGACGGCTACTGCAGTGACTCTGAGGAGGACTTCGGAGAAGGGGACGGGACCTGAGGGGCTACGGAGAGGGGGAGGGGTAGCGTGTGACGCACTTGACGGGGCTGGACTAGGGGGGAGGCTGTACCAGAGGAGCAGGTGGGGAGTGGGAGTCAGGAAGAGAGGGGGAGGGGGAACCGGGAGACCTCGACAGGGGTACCTGGTGTAATAGGGGACTGACACATCGAAACCGATGTCGCGGGAGTCAAGGAACTGGTGAAGGGGAAGGTGGTAGAAGGTGAAGTCTGAGGAGTCCTCTGGAAAACTAAGACACATGGAAGGGCGCGAGGGGAGAGCTTGTCCGCGGAGGTGTCGCGAACAAGCACCAAGTAGCCTCGGACATGAAATCGCGACAAAGCATCAGGGGTCCCAGCTACTAATTAGGATATGTATCCTATCTGCTGCTAGTGCAACCCCTCTTTCCTGTTTCTAACTTTGCTAGCGATTCTCGACAATAACACGCAAGTAAACGGAGTGAGAAGCACTAGAGTCAACAATTGCATACATAGCATGAGGAATTCCTGAGAGATCAAGTAACTGAGAAAGCAGACATGCCCCACAGAGCGGGACCGTGCGAGAGAATAAGGGGAAGCGAGTTAGGGAGCAGGGCCATCTACGCCGTAGGCCACGCGAAGTGTGTCAGTGAGCTAAGCAAAGCACTGACCCGGTGGGTGGCGGCGGTCACAGCGGAGGCCGCTGCGAGTACTTGTCTGGATGAGGTAGGGGCAAGAAGGGTGGGCGTCACTACACGACAGCTAACGCGGTCCTGACCCCTGCCTCGGAACCTGCTGCTACCCCTGCTGCTTGTGTGGCTGCTGCGAGAGGAGTGGCTGTTGCTTCTGCTGTCACTGAGTCAGGTATCAAGCCGCCACTCCAGCACCTACAGCTACCAGTCCAGTAGGTGCCCGGCGAACCCGAACGTCACCTCCACTAGCTGCAGCAGAGGAGTCACTAGAAGCTACACGAGTCGCTCCACCAACCCTGGTGACAGCAGCGGCGGTCTTGTCAGTAGCAGCAGCGGCAAGAGAGGCAGTAAAGGTGGGCAGTTGAGGGACAGTGCAGCCATGGAATAGTGGGGGGGGCACAGCGCCAGAGGCGGAGGCTACCGAGCGGAGGTTGCTCTCGACGTCCTTGAGGGCAGACTCAAGGACGCCGATAGTGAGCTCGCTAGGGTGCTTCAGAAGAAGCGCGTCACGAACCGTGGCGAGGCGGTCATAGATGCTAGTGACGATGAAGTATATAGTAATCGTCATGTGGGGGGGGAGCAGTGCAAGCTGTGGGTCAGTGCATGTAGTGCGGTAGCTAGAATCCAGTGAACGCTAGGGGACAGGACGGGCGCGACGGTAGGGCGCTACAGGCGTGGTAGGCTCAAGGGAGAGGACCGGGATCCAACAGGATCCTGACTTGGGTGATACCATGTCAGAAACTGAATGTTGGTGGTATTAGTATGAGTAAGGGTACATATTCCAACCTTAACAACTGTACCTTTCATGACAAGCCTCACTATAGGCTACAACATTTGACATAGTCCAGCAGCATGCGAGGTTTGGCAAAAGTGCCACGCAAATTGGCAAATACCGTTAAGTTTTATCGGGCAAAGAGACAGTTTGTACGCATTGCTGAGGGCGCATTAAGGAATCCGGAAAAAAAATCATTACAGTTTTTGGAATATCTCAAATTATTTTTTACGTCACAAATGCGCATCTTGGGACAAAAAAATATATACCCCTCTTGGATGCTATGTCATGTGGAAGGCGTCGACCATAAACGATGTTTACTGTTGAAGAGTCTAAAATGGGTGCGGGAATTGTAGGAAATGGTCACCAGAAAACCACCGCATCATTACCTCGCACCAATCTCTTCCTCAGAATCCCCCGAAATCCGCCAAACCCACCTATCCGTCATTGCTTTAGTTAGTGTGTCAGCGACGAACATTTTCAGCCCTCCCAGAATGGGGGTTCGCACGAGCTCACATTGGCAGCGGATATGCCAACCTCCATATGCCAGCAAGAAAACGGTGAGGCGGATTACTACGATCGACAACTGGGGGAGTACCCAAATCGGGCTCTCCCCCCTCAAATCCGCCATCCCACCTGTGCGTACTTTCCAGTCAACCCTCCCACAGCTGCAACTTTTCGCGCCTCCTTCGCCGCCAGCCTCGTTCGCGCTTATTCCCCATCCCCATGGCTCTCACTGCCACTTCCTCGGGCCTTTCCGGCGTCAGCTACTCCGTCAGCAACCGCGCCGTCACAAGCGCAGATTCGTCCGCGTCAACGTCCGCCTCCCCTTCTTCCATCTCCGCTGCGCCATGCGCCTCCCTCGCCGCGTCCCGCCGCGCCGCTGTTCCCCCGCGGGGCTCCTCGTGGCTTCGCGGATCTCCCGCCGTGCAGCTTCCGCCGCGCGGGCTTTCGGCGGGATCTCTTGGGGGAGCGAGTAAGCCCGTGCGGAGAGGAGGTCGCGGTGGGGCGATGGCGGCGACTGCGGGATTGGGAGATGCCGCGGAGTTGACAGCAGCTGCGTACGGCGCTACGCTGCTGTTCGGCGGCCTCTTCGGATGTGAGCTGCCGGGCGCCGAGCCCAGCTGTCGAGCTAAGCGCCTCACATGTGTGGAGGCGCCGTATCTTTCGTGGAATATAAACTTCTCATCTGTCTCTTCCGTTGCGTTCCGTCAGTTCATGGTCTCGCCCTGCCTTCCCCCGTTCCCCCCGCCTCTCCCGCCTCCCCTGCCTCCCCTCGTTTTCCGCCAATCTTTCCGCCCCGTCCTCCCCAGACAGCCGCTCGGGCTGCACGTACTCGCTGGGAGCGGGGATCACAGCCGCTGTTCTTTTCGCCACGGTGCGTTGAAACAACGTTCAACCACCGCTGAAGCGCCGCTCAAGCGGCGCTGAAGCAGCGTTTTCCCTTCATCTCTCGCGAATCCCTTTCCATGCTAAGTGGTCCGCTTCCGCCACGGCTGAAGTAATGCGGTCCTCTCCCTGCGCTGGCTTTCTTCCTGCGCTGGCTTTCTCCCTGCGCTGGCTTTCTCCCTGCGCTGGCTTTCTCCCTGCGCTGGCTTTCTCCCTGCGCTGGCTTTCTCCCTGCGCTGGCTTTCTCCCTGCGCTGGCTTTCTCCCTGCGCTGGCTTTCTCCCTGCGCTGGCTTTCTCCCTGCGCTGGCTTTCTCCCTGCGCTGGCTTTCTCCCTGCGCTGGCGTTCTCCCTGCGCTGGCTTTCTCCCTGCGCTGGCTTTCTCCCTGCGCTGGCTTTCTCCCTGCGCTGGCTTTCTCCCTGCGCTGGCTTTCTCCCTGCGCTGGCTTTCTCCCTGCGCTGGCTTTCTCCCTGCGCTGGCTTTCTCCCTGCGCTGGCTTTCTCCCTGCGCTGGCTTTCTCCCTGCGCTGGCTTTCTCCCTGCGCTGGCTTTCTCCCTTCGCTGGCTTTCTCCCTGCGCTGGCTTTCTCCCTGCGCTGGCTTTCTCCCTGCGCTGGCTTTCTCCCTGCGCTGGCTTTCTCCCTGCGCTGGCTTTCTCCCTGCGCTGGCTTTCTCCCTGCGCTGGCTTTCTCCCTGCGCTGGCTTTCTCCCTGCGCTGGCTTTCTCCCTGCGCTGGCTTTCTCCCTGCGCTGGCTTTCTCCCTGCGCTGGCTTTCTCCCTGCGCTGGCTTTCTCCCTGCGCTGGCTTTCTCCCTGCGCTGGCTTTCTCCCTGCGCTGGCTTTCTCCCTGCGCTGGCTTTCTCCCTGCGCTGGCTTTCTCCCTGCGCTGGCTTTCTCCCTGCGCTGGCTTTCTCCCTGCGCTGGCTTTCTCCGCATAACCAGCCAGCTGCACTGCACCAGTCAAGTGAATCCCACTCAAGTCAACCAAACAGCCGCGCTGGTTGGCTGCTAGCACCATTCAACCGAAACAAACAACGTGCCATGCTTGCAAACAACGTGCCATGCTTGCAAACAACGTGCCATGCTTGCAAACAACGTGCCATGCTTGCAAACCCTTCTGACGCATCCTCCTCCCACACTGTTACGGTCCGCTTTGGATTCGCCGTCCTCCCCACCCCACCCCTCCCCTCCTCCACTCCCCTCCCTCCCTCCCCCTCCTCCCCTCCCCCTCGCCATCGGGCATGGCATGGGCAGGCCTTGTATCTAATTCAGAGTGCTCACACGGAGTCGCTGGGCAACGCTTTGGGCTTTGGCTCTGGTCTGCTCTTCTGTGCCCTCTTTGGTCAGTCGCTTTTTACAATGCAATGCACTCTCTCTTCTTTCTACCCTCTCTCTCTCTCTCTCTCTCTCTCTATCTCTCTCTCTCTCTCTCTCTCTCTCTCTCTCTCTCTCTCTCCCTCTCTCTCTCTCTCTCTCTCTCTCTCCCTCTCTCTCTCTCTCTCTCTCTCTCTCCCTCTCTCTCTCTCTCTCTTTCTCTCTCTCTCTCTCTCTCTCTCTCTCTCTCTCTCTCTCTCTCTCTCTCTCTCTCTCTCTCTCTCTCTCTCTCTCTCTCTCTCTCTCTCTCTCTCTCTCTCTCTCTCTCTCGCTTGCTCGCTCGCTCTCTGTCCAAGCCATGTTTTTGGCCACTTGAATGCTGCCTTCTTCTCTTTTATTTGAAAGCACTCCAAGTACATGCTGCTTCTCTTCCTCCACTCACCCATCTCCATCATCCACAACCAACCCCCTTCCCACCACTACTACCACCACCACGCCCCAATTCTCCACTGCCCATGCCCCTGCAGCCGTCCGGCATTTCCTCCCAGGAAAGGCAATGCCCACCGGCCCTCTTTTTGCCTGGAGTGCTGCGGCCACTGCTGTTTTTGCATCCGCCTACTTTGGCGTATGATTTTACAGGAGGAATCTGTAATTTTCGTTTTGGGTGCTGTACTGTAATTTTAGCAACCTCAGATCAGCAGCAGGGCGAGTTTCATAGGAGGCATGATCCAGAGTGGATTGGGAGGTTTAGGGGGCCCAAAATATCAGGGCAAAATTCCCTTTTTGCCCTGATGGGTGGCTGGTTTTTCCCAGTTACCCTTGCAAAATCAGGCTTTTGAAAATTTTACCCTTAAGCGAAAAGAGTATGTTTGTTTTCACACTGATAGCAATTCTGGTTACATTGCCGATATTAGGGTTTGGTGTGCATTTGTCAAATTATATATGTAACATATATGTGTAGGCTGTAGTGGGGTAGCTGTCAGAATCTACAGGCAGGAATGAATGAACTAGCAGCATGATGGGTACAAGTAGGAAACCCTAATCTGGGTTGTACCCCATATGGGCTACCCCATTACAGCCTACACAATAAACAGCATGTATGTTTGACACACCCCCATAAACAAAGTGGGGGAGAACAAGAGGTCACAGGACCAGTCAAGAAAGGCAAAGCAAGCTCAGGGTGGATCACAAAGTCACCACCAGGCCCCTAGATTCGTTTTGAGGTAGTCTGACGCCTCAGAGTACACCCCTCTTCCTAGTCTGGCTGTCAGAGTTACCTATTTTTTTTAGTCTGAAAATTCAGACAAGCACAACTTTTTTGTCTGAACTGTCAGAGTTACTTCAAATTTTAAGATGTTCATGCAGTTTCGTAAAAGCATAGTAATAATAGCAGTGAAGCTGATTACAGCCAACCAACGCATCAGGCAACGTGCTCGTGCATCGCCACTGCTCATGTCGGCGGCGTTCTGGTGTTTTTGTCACGTGCAGCGCATGGTTGTTTCTGCTGATCTCATTTCGTTTTGTCGTGTGTGTGATTACCGTTCTGTACCCATTTTCTCGCCTGTGTGCCAATTTTTGTCAATTTTGGATTTGCGTTTCTAGCGATGCGATCGTTCACCCGATCTGTATCGGGTGGGCCAAGTGCCACGCAGCTGAGCTGGCAGCAGGCAGAAACTGTTGCTTGGCGTGGCGTGTAAGGGCGTGTTACATTTCCGTCCGGACGACTGTATGGTTACGAAACTCGTTTAATATCGGCAGTGAGTTCGTCAGGGTGTAAACGACGTCGCTTGCTTCGTATTGCTAACTTACGACATCGCATTGGTCGTAAAGCGACCGCACGACGTCGCAATCTTCGCACGCGCCCGGACGACCGTCCGGACTTTCAGCGATTTAAAAAAATGTAACACGCCCTAAGAATCAGGTAGTGCCACATGAAACTTTCATTACGAAACAGGACCTTCGCAATTTCACAGCAGTGCGTGCTGCAAAAGTTTGTCAAAATCTAGCAGCAGGAATTATGAACTAACAGCATGCAGGAGTACAAGTAGTAAACCCTAATTGAGTAGTATCCCATATGGGCTACCCCACTACAGCCTAGACAATATGCAGCATATATGTTTGACACACCCCCATAGGCAAAATGGGGGAGAACAAGGGGTCACACGACCAGTCAAGAGACGCAAAGCAAGCTCAGGGTGGATCTCAATGTCACCACACATTCTGAGCACAAACAAAGGGCCGCAAGGCCAGTCCACATGCAGAGATATATATAAGCAACAAGAGCAGTACAGTGATCAATACCTAGCAAGAGCAAGCATGCAGGTATAAATATAGAGCACAGTACACACAAAAGACTACAGCAAGTGTGGAAACGTAGGCACAAGGCCTAACAAAGTACAAAAGCGCTGATGATCACCAGACGGAAGTGCCTTGGTGAATATATCAGCAGTGTTGGCCCGAGTGGCCACGTGTGCAAGACGAAGCTGACCACGCTGCTGCAACTCTCGAGCCAGAAAGTACCGCAGAGCGATGTGCTTCGTTCTGTGCTCCAGTCTGTGCTCCTCACATAAGGCAATGGCAGCCTTGTTGTCGACGTACAGCACTGGAGGAGAACGAGGCCGCTCTCCCAGGTCGGTCAGCAGGTAAGTGAGCCAGCGTAACTCCTGAGCAGCCATGGCTGTGGCGTAGGTCTCAGCCTCACAACTGGAGCTGAGAACAGAAGACGAGCGAGTAGAACGCCAAGAAACAGAACCAGAGCCAAGGCTGAAAGTGTAACCCTGTGACGACCACTGCGTAGCCTGGTCGTCAACCCAAGAAGCGTTTGAGTGCCCAGTGAGGACCACCTCTCGCCGTCCTCCAAGCACGAGCCCCATGCCCGATGTACTGCACAAGTAGCGCAGTACCCTCTTCGCAGCATCCCAGTGCACCTTTCGGTGCCGACCAGGAGCCACGTAGCGAGCCAGAAGGCCAAGAGGGTACGCAAGGTCAGGACGAGTGCAAGTCATCAGGTACATGAGGCAGCCCACTAGCTCTGGGTAAGGACCACTCGGCTCTACGGACTCATCCGAAGGCAGAGCTGAGAGCGAGTGACCTATAGCCAGAGGAGTGGCCTGTGCTGAGGACCAGGTGAAGCCGAAGCGCTGAAGGACCTGCTGCACCATGTGTGACTGAGTCAGTGTGATGGTGCGGCGTGCTCGGTCCCAGGTGATCTGCAAGCCAAGGTAGCTGCGCAGCTCACCCAGGTCTGTGCACGTGTGTCTCTTCTGCAGCTCGGACTTCACCAGGGCGAGGGCCTCAGTGTCAGCAGTAGCAAAGACCAAGTCGTCGACGTACACGAGGATATAGAACGGCGGCAGCGAAGTGTCGGTGCGTAGAAACAGTGAAGGGTCAGCAGTCGAAGGCGCAAACCCAAGAGCCGCAAGGGTAGTCCTCAGTGTGTCGTGCCACTCACGGGGTGCCTGGCGGAGACCGTAGACTGGCCGGCGGAGGCTCCACTGGGTACCAGGAGGGAACGTCCCAGTGAAGCCAGGTGGGCGGCGCTGTCAGAATGTTACTTGTCTAGCCTGCAGTGGGGTACTCAACAGTGAGTACAACCCTTTAGGGTTTCCTACTTGTATCCCAACTCTTGCTAGTTCAACCATCTCATTCTCACCATTCTCCTTCGCATACCCAAAACCCTAGTCCTAGGGCACATCCTACTACCTCTTAGTGTGGGCCTAGGCTACTAAGCCTAGGCCCCACTCCTATTGTTTCTAACATGGTATCAGAGCAGGTCGACCCTCCTGGGTCGATCCTGTGGGTGGGCCCACCACCTAATGCTTCCGCTGCTGTCCTGCTTATCGCGCGCCTCGGGCGCGCGACGTTTTCTGCCTACTGCGCGCTCGCAAGGCGCGGCGTTTTTAGGGTTTCGGCGGTTTTCATCCCGCCGTGCGCTCGGGGCGCGCGGCGGTTTTCTGCCCGCCGTGCGCCCCGAGGCGCGCGGCGGTTTCCCACCGTCGAAGTGCCCCCCGTCGCCCGTCGAAGCGCCCTCCCCCCGTCGCCCGTCGAAGCGCCCCCGTCGCCCGTCGGAGCGCCCCCCGTCGCCCGCCAAAACGCCCCCGTCGCCCGTCGAAGCGCCCCTGGCACCTGGAGCAGCCGCCCCTGCAGCAGCAGCCCCTGGAGCCGCCCGCCACTGCAGCAGCAGCCCCTGGAGCCGCCCGCAACTGCAGCAGCAGCCCCTGGAGCCGCCAGCAACTGCAGCAGCAGCCCCTGGAGCCGCCCGCCACTGCAGCAGCCGCCCCTGGAGCCGCCCGCCGCTGCAGCAGCCGCCCCTGGCACCTGGAGCAGCCGCCCCTGCAGCAGCCGCCCCTGGAGCCGCCCGCCACTGCAGCAGCCGCCCCTGGAGCCGCCAGCAACTGCAGCAGCAGCCCCTGGAGCCGCCAGCACCTGCAGCAGCAGCCCCTGGAGCCGCCAGCACCTGCAGCAGCAGCCCCTGGAGCCGCCCGCACCTGCAGCAGCAGCCCCTGGAGCCGCCCGCACCTGCAGCAGCCGCCCCTGGAGCCGCCAGCAACTGCAGCAGCCGCCCCTGGAGCAGCCGCCCCTGCAGCAGCCGCCCCTGGACCTCAGAAGCCGCCCCTGGACCCGGTACGCTCTGCTGCTGCCCGATGCTGCCCGTGCCTGTGCTGCCCGTGCCTTGTCCCTCGAGCCTACTACCTACCTACCTGTGCCTGTGCCTGTGCCTGTGCCTGTGCCTCTGCCTGTGCCTGTGCCTGTGCCTGCTCGTGCCTTGTGCCTCGAGCCTACTACCTACCTGCCTGTGCCTGTGCCTGTGCCTCTGCCTGTGCCTGTGCCTGTGCCTGCTCGTGCCTTGTGCCTCGAGCCTACTACCTACCTGCCTGTGCCTGTGCCTGTGCCTCTGCCTGTGCCTGTGCCTGTGCCTGTGCCTGCTCGTGCCTTGTGCCTCGAGCCTACTACCTACCTACCTGTGCCTGTGCCTGTGCCTGTGCCTCTGCCTGTGCCTGTGCCTGCTCGTGCCTTGTGCCTCGAGCCTACTACCTACCTGCCTGTGCCTGTGCCTGTGCCTCTGCCTGTGCCTGTGCCTGTGCCTGTGCCTGCTCGTGCCTTGTGCCTCGAGCCTACTACCTACCTACCTGTGCCTGTGCCTGTGCCTGTGCCTCTGCCTGTGCCTGTGCCTGTGCCTCCTCGTGCCTTGTGCCTCGAGCCTCGTGCCTACCTACCTACCTGCCTGTGCCTGTGCCTGTGCCTGTGCCTCTGCCTGTGCCTGTGCCTGTGCCTGTGCCTGTGCCTCGTGCCGTGTGCCTCGTGCCTCGTGCCCGCGCCCTCGTGCGCTCTGCTACTGTCTGCGCCCTCGTGCGCACTGTTCTGCTCTGCCCCCCCCCCCCCCCCCCCCCACCACAAGGGGTGTGGGGGTGGTGGCGGGTGTGGGGGTGCTCCTTGTGCGTCGCCCCTTTCCTCCTCCTCCTCCTTCCTCGTCTCCCACTGCTGCAGCTGCCGCTGAGGGGGGTGGATGTGTGGGAGCCGAGGGTTTAGGGTTTCAGGAGTGAAGGGGGAGTGGAGCTAGGGGTGAAGCAGTGGGTGTGTGGGGGGTGTGTGGGACAGTTGGGGGAGGTTGAGCCGAGGCTGCCGTCTTGT